AGTTTGAAAATCCTTTTTTTCTTTTTGATACCGACGTCCGGGTTGTAGAAGTGCTAGGTCTCTCTTCAGTTCTCCGTTTCTTGGGTGGTGGAATAGTTGTTGCAGTCTCTGGCCCTTCTATTTCGTTTAGACTTGAGTCCTGCAAGAAAATTTAAGGATTTCAAAATCATTTGGATTATAGTATTTTTTCACCTGGTCGGGACTTGCTTTACAGATTTCCCCTCTCTCGTTTTTAAGATATAAGACTACTCCTTTGATTTCCTGAATTACATAGGGGCCTTCAAACTTTGGAGCTAGCTTTGCGATAAAATTGTCTGGGGCACTTGATAAAGAAAATTTCCGTTTCAATACTTTATCCCCAACTTTAAAATCTGCTTCACGGCGTTTTCTATCATAATATAGTACTTCTGTCTATTTTTTTTTGCCGTATCCGAGGTTTTAAGTGCCTGATCAATCAACTTTTGCACATCCTTGTTCGTTTGAAATTCCTGCTCTCTTTGTTGCACAAAGAATAATTTATCTAAAGGCGTAATTAACTTTCTGCCCTAAAAATAATTCTGCTGGAGTTTTTCCCCGTAGTATCATGATGTGCCGTTCTTAAAGCATAAGCTAATTCATTTATGTAGCCATCCCAGCGCTTGTGATGTGTGCTAACGTAACTGCGAATTATTTTTACAATGTTTTTTATTAACTCTTTCTGCTATGTTAGCCTGTGGTCTATACGGAACCATTTTGATATGGCGTATATCCAAGTCCATTGCATATGTTTTCAAATATTTGACTAATGAATTGTTTTCCGTTATCGCTAATGACTTTTATATCGGTGCACCGTATTTTAAAATGTATCTGTGTAAGAATGCATCTGCGACTGTTTTGGCTGACGCGCGTTTAAGTGGAACAATTTCTATCCATTTTGAAAAATGATCTACTATTACTAAAAGAAACGATTTTTATTTAACTCGCTCTGGGGGAAGGGACCAAGGAGATCTATGCCTAAAATTTCATTCGGAAATGTAGCGCGAATGCTATTTAAGTACCCGGCCGGGCTGTAATTAATATCATTTATTAACTGACATTGATTGCAGGACCTGACATACGCCGTTACTATTTTGTATAATTGCGGGAAATATACCGCCTCGCGTACCCTTTTTAAAGTCTTTCTGACCCCGAGGTGGCCCGCTGTTTTTTTTTTGTGCAACTCCTTCAAAATGCTTAATCGAAGCGAGGCTGGGATGACTGGCTTATACTCAAGATTTTCGTTTGTTGTTTTCGTATAGAATAATAAATTATCTATTATTTCATAGTTTTTTGCTCTATTTCTTATCGCATCGATATCTGTGTGCTCAAAGCTTTCGGGGTCTTTCAAATAAGCATAGATATTTCCAAATTCAGGATCAGCTTTCAGTTCAGTAATAACCGTATCTCTAGAATCTAAAATTTTTGAAGTCAACACAGCGCATTTAATTTCATTACCTTCATCGTCCAGTTTTATACGAGAAAGTGCGTCAGCTACACTGTTTTCCTTACCCGGTTTATATTTTATTGTGATATTATATTCTTGGAGTTTTAAAGCCCATCTTATTAACCTGGGCGTTAGGTTTTTCCCGAGTAAAGTCTACCAACAGCCGCATGATCCGAAAAGACTGTTACTGGCGATTTGCCGAAATAAACTCGAAATTTGTGTACAGCCATTAATACGGCTAATGTTTCTCTTTCTGTAGCTGTATAATTCCTTTGTGTTTGATTCAATGTTTTACTAAAAAATGCCAGCGGATGGTTATTTTTGCATAAGAACCGCCCCACCGCATAGTCTGATGCATCTGCCGCAATTTCCAGGTTTTCATCCCCCTCAGGGAATTTTAAAACAGGGGCATTAATAAGCGCTTCTTTTAATCTTTCAAAAGCTGTGTTCGCTTCCGCTGTCCACGTAAATTTACTCTTTTTTCTTTTGATTACTAAGAGTGGTTCAACAATATTAGCGAAATCTTTTATGAAAGATCGATAGTAAGAACATAGTCCAAGGAAAGACGAAAGTTTCTTGGCGGTGTTGGGCGGTGGGAAATTCTTAATAGCTTTTATTTTTGAATCTTGCGTTTCTATACCCTTTTGCGAAATTTTTATAACCGAGATATTTAAGTTCTTTAGTTGCGAACTTGCATTTTGAGGCGTTAATTGTAAGACCGGCCTCTTTTAATAATTTAAAAACTTGTTCGAGGTCATTAATGTGTTGTTCCAACGTATTACTCGTTATAATTATATCATCTAGATAAATTAAGGTTGATTTTCCTAGGACAGGCTTTAGAACAATGTCCATAGCTCTCTGGAATGTTGATGGGGCCCCACACAACCCAAAAGGCATGCGTAAAAATGCATAAGTGCCCGATTTTGTTATAAACGCGGTTTTATGTACATCTTCGGGTCTCGTAGCTATTTGATAGTAGCCAGACGTTAAGTCCAAAGTAGACATATATCTCGTCGATTTGATCTGTCTAATGATCTCGTCTATAACCGGCAAAGGGTAAACTGGAAATTTAGTTATGCTATTTAGTTTTCTATAGTCGATAGCAAACCTCCAAGCCCTTTTATCCGAAGGAGGAAACTCGTTCTTTTTCCTACATAGTACGACTGGACTCGCGTATTCACTATTTATATGGGCGTTATTATTTTATTCTTCAACATCTCCTGAATATGTTCTTCGATGATTAAGTCTTTTGTTTATCATAGCGATACGGTTTAGTCCTACAAGGTTTTTCGGCATTTAATTGAATCTTGTGAGTCACGATCTGACAGTTTCCCGGTTTTTTTTCTGAAAACAAATGAGAAAAATTACTCACCACTTGCTGTATTGCTTTACTTTCCTGGTCATTCAAATGGCTAAGGTCCGATTCAGGTGTCTCCACCGGTTCCACCACCCTCTGGTCCATCTCCATCTCCACACCACGGAACTATCTTGAAAATTTAATTTGGCCCTCGCGGCCCTTAAAAAGTCCATACCTAAAATAAGAGAGTGTTGCAGGTGTTTCACCACAAAAATTAATACTTTGAGATTTTCCTCTTTTACCTGTACGTTAAATGATACTTTCCCGATGCAGTGACATGTTTTTCCTTGCGCCGCTATAATTTCCGTATTTCTGGTTTTAAAGAGTCGTATCCTATAAAAATTCTTTTTGAAGAACTTTTCACTCATGAAATTCCCTTCTGCTCCTGTATCGATGAGGGCTTCTACTGGTACATCGCTAACCAGGACTTGTATAATTGGTAGCTGTGAGTTTTTTACGATGACTGTATTTAAATGTCTATTTGAGGGTTTTTGTAAAACTTCCGGGATCTGGACCCTCCCTTTCACAGGCCCCTCTAGTCGTTTAAAGCTTTCCTTTCAATCTGTGTCTTCTGGGTACGCGGATGCTTATTTTCAAATTTTCTTTTTGGGCCTTGACCTTCGAGTTTCGATGCGTTAGCTTGATAGTTCTTTCCCCCATACGAGCGATTTCCATTTCTGGTTTCCTCCTTCCTTCTGGTACTTTGAGAATATGTTTCCCCTCTCGCTCTTTCCGCTATTCTGCGATTTTGAAATTTCACCGCCAATTCGAAAAGTTCCTGCAATGTGGTTGAGTTTCTAATTTCAAAGTAGTCTTGGACAGCGGGTAACAATCTTGGTAATATTATTTCAATTATCTCCGCATCGGGTTTCTTGCCATACTGCATATCCGTTAGCTTGATTTTTCGTAAAATAAAGTCCGTCAATTGTGCTGTATCCCGTTGATAGAAACTATATAACTCGGTTTCCAGCCGTGCGCGATCTTTCACTGTGGGGAAGGCCTTTACTAACGATTTTTTGAAATTTTCCAATGTATACGTCGGGCTTCCAAATTCACCTAGTAGAAATTTTCCTATATTTTTCCACCATAGCGCGGCCTGTCCTCTTAGTGCTGATGTGGCGATGGCGACTTTTTGTCTTTCAGGCACAGGGTAGAGCTGAAAGTGGTTTTCTATACCTTCTAAAAATGCGGACACCGAATTTTTTCCGTCGAAATAGACGTTTGGCTTGATTGATGCTCTCAAAGTCTGGACCAGGTATCCAAATCCTTCTAACTGAGTTGTCATTTCTTGGTGTTGTCCAGCGGCTTCCATCCAATTTTCGGCCATTTCAGTTCGATAAGTGTTCGGGCGCCAATATAACGTTGCACGCCTACAACTTGCACGCAACCAAGGGTGACTGTGAAAGCTTGTATAAACCACAGAGTCTTGTAAAGGGTTTAAGTCCCTTTTTATTCAACGTAATGAATTACAATTGCGTTCTCTTGACGCTTACAAACGGTGCCAACTCGGCAGTCAAAATAAAAATAAGAACCTGAAAAGAAAGTAAAGACAATATTCTAACTACGAGGCTCTCTAAAATAACTAACTCACCGCGTTTTACAAAAGCCGAAGCCAATTCAGCAGACTTGAAGCTCACTGGAACAATTGCAACTACTTCCCGCCAAGCATATAGGCCGCAACGCGGGGTTCTTCAATTCTCGATTTCTACCTCCGCGCTCGCTAAGTAAGAATAACTCTCTCACCGAACTCGTTTCCTTCTATTTAAATCATACTACTTCCGCTGATAATTTGAATGCTTGCGCGTTCTACTCAAATTTACATATTGTGGCATTGGCAGTTCCAGGGGAAAGTAAGGCTTGACAGGAAAGATAGTTTAAACTTAAAATAAATGTTAGTTAAAATAAATATAAACCCTACAAGCTATAAGATGTTTAAATATTATCAAAATGACACTTACGTGTGAAGAATCTAATATCAAATGGGAAATGTATCTCATTTTTCTAGCATGCTATATATTGTTTATTACATTACAGAATTTAATGTCTTTTCCTTAAAACGTATTTTAAAGTAGCTGGCCCATTTGTACCAAAAGAATTGCAGTTTTTTAGAACACACTAAAAATGCATACATTTAATATAGCAACCAGAAAAATTTAATTTAAATAGTTAATTTATACTTACTTATTCTTTGGTATTTCTTATTCAGATGCTTCCGAAAAGCTAAAGCTTCCTCATAGCTGTCCAAAATTTTATCAAAATCAAAATCATCTAGAAAACTTTGCTTTATGTATGATGTATCAATAAAAAATTTCTCTGAATTATTTTGATATGAATCTGTTGTACCAATTTCAAATTCATCTTGATAATTTTGCTTTACATGTGATGTGTGACTTTTCGATTCCTGTGAATTATTTGGCTTTGAATCTGATGGACCAATATCAAATTCATTTCGATCATTTTTCTTTATGTGTGATATATCAATATCTTGATCATTTTGAATTGTATATAATATATCAGTATCAGATTCCTCTGAGTTATTTTGACTTGAATATGATAGATGAATACCAAATTTATCTTGATCATTTTTCCTGATATGTGATATATCAATATCAGACACTTCTGAATTATTTTGACTTGAATCTGATGGACCACTATCAAATTCATCGCCATCCTTTTTTATTATATATGGTATATTAATATCAGATTCCTTTGAATTATTTTGACTTAAATCTGATGGACTAGTATCAGATATATCTTGATCATTTTTCTTTATATGCGATATATCACTATCAGATTCCTCCGAATTATTTTTGCTTGAATATGATGGACCAATACCATATTCATCTCGATCATATTTCCTTATATGTGGTATATTTATACCAGATTCCTCTGAATTATTTTGATTTGAATATGATGGACCAATACCAAATTGATCTTGATCAATTTTCAGTATATGTGATACATCAATAACAAATTCTTGTGAATTATTTTGCCTTAAATCTGGCATAACAAAATCAAATTCATCTTGATAGTTGTTTCTTCCATGTGATATATCAATACCAAATTGCTCCGAATTGTTGTGACTTGAATCTAGAGTATCATAGTCATCTGAATAGATCTGGCTTGCATTTAATGTGTGTGAGAAGAAAATTGCCAAAAGTGCAGTGGAAAATATAATAATGTAGAACCTAGAATAAAAGATATGACAGAGATATATTATACTATGCAAGATTACATAAAATATATAATTTCCAAGAAAAATCAATTTACAAAATATACTCTTAAAAATAACATAATGTGGAAATGTTTATAAAAAGAAGTTTTGTAACCGCAAAAACTTTCGGATATATATTTTAACGAATATCCGTTTTGACAGCTGTCAAAATCATTTGAACAATTTTTTTGCGTGATATCTGTACGTACGGATATAATGAAGGAATAGTTTTTCCAAACTGGATTGTAAAATGGATTTAAAATATATTCAGAAAGGATTTTTCGTGACGTTAGAACGTACGTACGTATAACTCAAAAAAGATTAGCCGTTGAACGTTTAAATTTTATATATAGGACTGCTATAACATGTAGTTGTGCGCCTCTCTTTTTGTTGCAATCGGACATACCGAACATAGTATATATATATATAAATCTATTCTCTTACCCGGCTCGGTAAGTTCTGTGTTTTTATTCTTAGATATTGGTAAATTATGCATTTTTTGCTCTAAAAGTGATTGAATTATGTTATTCTTACGTGCCGGTTAAGTTTTTATGCTTTTAGTTAATCTGCATATAAATAAAAAATTATTAAAAACAATGGAGTTTACAGAACATTTTTTATACATTTCATTTTAGGTACAGTTTTCATGCAATACAACTCCGATTTTAAGATACTAGTCTTGTCATTTCTAGATATATTTTGCCAAATATGATAAAGAATATTATAATAACTTATTTGTTTTTCACTTTTTTTTGCATTTTGGTAAAAACTATGTAATTTACAAAACGTTTTTGATAGACATTTTATACACGACAATTTTGATCTAGAATTTACTATCAATTCCAGGGGACTTTCTTGCTATAATATTTTATTAATAAAAGCTATTTTCACTTTTTACTGCATTTCTTTGAAAACAATACAATTTATAAAAAGGTTTAATACATATTTCATTTTAAGCACTGTTTTCATTTACTACAGTTTTGATTTCAAGATGTTGCTCTTATCAGTTCCATGATATTTTGATACTTTTTGCCACATCAGATCATGAATATTATGATAACTAAAAGACCATTTTTTCACTGCAGTTCATTAAAATCCATGTATTTTACTGAACTCTCTCTCTCTCTTTTTTTTTTTTTTTTAATTTCATTTTAAGTACACTTTATACACACTATCCTTTTGATTTTAAAATATTACTCTTGTCAATTCCATGATATTTTTTTGCCATATATGATCAAGAATATTATGATAATTAAACGGATTTTTTTTTTCAATTTTTTCTACAGTTTATTAAAAATGACATAATTTACAATTGTTTTTATATATTTTAATTTCATTTTAAGTACTCATTTTATATACTACACTTCTGATTTCAAGAAGTTTCTTTTCACTCCTGGATATTTTTCTGTCACAAATAATTAAGTAACAATAATATGAAATATAAAAAAGTAATAAAAGCTTTTTTTTCGCACCAGTAGAGGACAAACGCAAAGCAACAAATGAAACGAAAACAAACAGCAAAACGAAACGAAAACAAACAGCAATTTTTGAAGCCATGAATTTTAAGTCTGAATTTTGTTCTAAACATAAATATATCTAGAAAGCCATATTTACTTAGTAATTGAATGGGTGTCTTCAAAATCGCTGTTTGCTTTAGAAAAGGATGCTTAACTTAAATTTGCATTTTAACATCAAGATTTCTCATAAAGGTTTACCTTTTAGCAACTTTAAAAAATGATGTATTAAGAACAAGCAGAATATAACAGTAGGTGGAATTCTTGATCTTCAAAACTAGTAATAATTTTATTAAATCAAGCAACGTAACTGATTATTTTCGCATTTATTTGTAGGTTGCACAGTCAACAGCAATCAAAAATAAAATCCGGAAATTCTTTAACTTGTAATATTAGTAATGGGAAAGAGATGATATCCCTAAAGGACAGCTGCTACAAATGGTGATAATCCAAAAATCTTTTCTGAAATACTATTAAGAAATGAAAATTATTTGTAAAGTCATAAATTATAGGAAACTAAATTCTTTCAAAATGCGTTTTTCAAGATTTTGTTTTTATACAAGAAAATAAACATTGAAGGTTTTAATATGGATACTCTACACGTTTTCGATATTACTTTACGAAGTTTTCAAAAGACTTGTAGAATATGCAACACTTCCTTCCAAAGTACAAAATTTATTGAAATTAAAAAGATTTAAACTATGTAAGAGATCTGATACATTACTGCAAAATATTTCTAATTTATGTTGAAGATAGGAAAATGGTCAATTACAGAGCTTTGTGATATTTATGATTTTAATTTCAGTTCATCTATAGGCTTTATGTCAATTTCTCTCCTTTATGCCTTGCTTTGTCACGTACTCGTTCAGACCAGCCTTTTATGGAAATTGTACGGCAAGCGACGTAGATGAAAACAACGATGTAATCTCTACCGGTAGTCTGAATAAAACACTGGTCGCTTGCTGTAAACAGCTGTATATTCAGAGGATATGAAAGCCAGATATTAGGTTAGATAAGTGTAGAAGCTAAAGGAACTTTTGCATTCGACCCAAATGTGCTGTAGAAGATACAGCACATTTGGGTTGAACAGAGCTTTGTTGAAATCAAAATACAACCAAATATATTAACTAGGCAGAAAGGGCAGAAGATGCAGTTTTAGTTAGTATAAAATATTTAGACGTTATAAAATATTCAAGACTACATTTCGTATAAATCTAAACATATTCAGGTTTTAAGGAAAATAAATCTATAACTTGATCTTATTCTCTATAACTTGATCGAAGAATTTTGTCGTATATGAAATATTCTGTTTAAGAAAATGCAGCACAAGGAAGCACACTCCTAAACAAAAATCGGTAATTTTTTCAATATTTTGCAAGTAATAAAATTTCATTAACAACAAAATCCATAAAAGGCGATCCGGAAATATGGAGAATTCGCTCAGTTTGACCAAACCTAAAACTTTTAGGTGGTTGCCTTTCAGTGAAACGCACAGCGGTTCCTAAAATTTAATGAAAACTCCAGATGATTTGATGAAATTTCACTGAAACAACAGAAAATTCTTTCTCCTTAGCTTGAAATTAGCTTGAAATTATTTAGATGAAAGATGCGGGGGCTTTTTTCGTTTTTCTAAAGCACATCCTGCATACTTCAATGCAAAGCAATGTTCCAATATTGTAGTATGTTACTCTACATTCTTTACAGAAGTAAATTAAATTTTGTAATTAATTTAAATAAATGGTTCTAATTCCTCTCAGCATTTTAAATCAATATATATAATATAATATATATTCCAAGATCTTGTTTATTATTAAACAGGGTAAATTCAAATAAAATACGTCTAAACGTCTATAGCAGTGCAAAACGGTAACTCTGCGGGAATAATGAATTAAAAAAATAAATAAAGTATCAATTTTGATGAATAAGCATATCAAGTCTAATCGGCAGTAAATTAAAATTTTCATACACCTTTATGTACATACATTCCCTATAGTTTAATTTTTTCTTTTTTTTCCAGACAGTAGCTTTCTTAAATCTGGATCTAGAGCTTCAAATAAATACACATTTTGTGATTTTTCACTTAGATAGAAATGGTGAAAAGAGCCATAGAAAATGTCTACTTACATTACTGCAAAATATTCAAGATCCCTATCAGAATGCGTTTCACTGTAACAAAATGAGGTACTTTAAAGAATAACTTCCTAATGCGCTTCACTATTTTCGTACCGATGCGGTAACATGTTGCAAATAAATTGTAGTTAGAACATATGCAGAAAGAAATTCACTTCCTGAGCTCTGTGCAATTTAAACTTTGCAAGATTCGTATTTTATTCAAAACAAAGTATTTTTCATTCTATCTGCTCTTCATAAAAGTGTGCTTTAATTGTCTTATTTTTTCTAAATTTTCTTCTTGTTAAATTAATAATAATAATAATTTTATTTTAGTATCTAAATTTTATTTAAAGTGTTAATTTATCTTTCGAGCTTTTAAAGTGTAAATTTATTTTCACGTTTTATTTTTTCATCCAGTATTTTATTTGATGTCTTTAAGTTTACTTAAATTTCCTGTACAAGTAAATTTATTTTCACATTTTACTTACATTTTTTATACATTTGTTGAACAGTTTCAACTGTTTTCCCAAGTCTAAAATTATTTTTCATGTTTTTTTAATATTTTTGTACAATTTTAATGCCCCGTTTCTAGGTAATAAGTTAATTTTTAACATTTTGTTTTCAGCTGTCTGTTGTTAACATTTTGTTTAATTTTTCAATTCCATATTATTATTTTGATTTTATCGAATAGCATTTTACTAAGATTAGTTCTAAAATTACTTTTTCGTTTTTCGCAAAGTATTTTATTCAAACGTAATTTTCTTTATAATGATTTCTCACAAAATTTCTTAATTTGTACATCTTCTTCTCAGGAAACTTCAACAGGAAAACTAGTCTGCATATCAATTGTTATTTATATCTTTCAAAACCGTTTACAAACAGATTCATTCTTTGAATTTAATCTTAATTGTTCGTGGATAATTTCTATGGTTCCATACACTTATTATCTACGGCATGCTAAAACGTTAAAAACAGGTGAAAGTTTTATGTTTATAATATACAATAGAATGTGACTTTATAGTTTACATTTTCAGTATATGCAATGTAGAAATGTACAATTTATCTTTCTCCAGGGCAATAGAATAGAAATGAAAATATTTCGGGTTCGTATATTTTGCGGGAACGCTTTCTTTAAAGTCTTACGATGTCCACACATCTTACAAATATTCTTATTTGGTACCTGCTACTAAACTACCATCCTTGTGTACTTTCCTGGTAATCTATGTCGCACAATAGACGTATTAAGAATATTTTGTGATAAAAGAATTTTAACTTTCATTTTCCAATTAATATTTATTTTTTTAGTTTGTATTTCCTCGGAATACAATATTTTGTTTATCCTTTCTGTCTCTGACATAATTTCGTGTTTTCTTATCTTCCACGGATAAGAAACTATCCAAATAGAACTTATCTCAAATGCACCTTACACTTTTCTGTTTCCAATACTTAGATACAGATTTAATTTGAATGTGTATTTTTACATGCACTTTTATTACCGTGCAGATTTAACGTAAATTTTGTATTTATCAGATATTGACCTGAGATAAATTCTTTAATTTTGCTAGGCAATAAATCATAAGATCAAATGTTTACTTTTAATAGTCAATTATAATAATCATTTAAGTTCAGTTAGAGGTAGCTATCAAATGTAATTAAAATATTTGTTTATAGTTTTCTATCAGTTTCAGTATCCTCTATATTACAGTCCAGTGGGAAAAAAACCTTGTATCCAAATTACAGCGTAGCAGACAGTTACACATCAAACTGAGATTTTATTATGAGAAACTATTATGAGAATTACTATTATGAGACTCAATCTAGTTTAAGTCTAAATACACGATGCATGTTCATTTTAGTTTTCTGAAACAGAAGTTTATTTTTTCATTCAGTATAACTTACAATACACTTTTTAACAGGAAACGTAATTAAATATATGCCTAAGGTCGGTTTAGAGTACAACTTCATCGGTAACTGTTCCAAATAAGACTTAGTTAACTCAGAATTTAGATGTATTATTTCAAGTTTAAAGAGGTGATTTTCAAACGTTAGATTTATTTTTATAAGCAGCATTGAACAATGTTTATTACTTGTTTCTCTTAAATCAACATGTTAATTCAAACATTGAATGGTTTAATAGAAATATTTTATTAGGATTTTTTTCTGAAAGGCTTTATATCGTATGTTTTGTTCCAACCATCCGCATCCATCAGATGCATCATTTGTGAAACGGGAATAATTCTGCGAAATCTGCTTCAGAGAAAGGTTGATGTAATGTATTGTCCAAAATAAAAATTCAATTATCTAATACATGAAAAACAATGTCTTGAAAAATTATATTCAACCGCAATGAAAGTATAATCTTCAATTAAAATACAAAATATGAGTGTTCACTTATAACAGCATAAAACAATACGGTGGCGATCTCATTTTTATAAATAATAATTTAAATCCCGAATTATATACATTTTTGTGATTGTATCACTTAATATCGGGGTACATTCAGCATTTTAGAAAATTTCAAATTTTCAATATTGTGGGGGAAAGGGGGAAAAACTTAAAAGAGTAGTATAGTGATAACAGAAGAGAGTAATTTTTATAATTTTCTTACTATATAGATGTTAGTAACAATGAAAATTCCTTATAATGAATTTCTACATTTAGGAGAATACATTTGTTTATGTACATTGAATTAGAAGTAAGGAAGTAAGACACTATCTAATATCTCACACAAAGTACTGTATCAGTTCAGTTCCAATTTGGGCAATCTGTACTAGTAAAGTAAATGCATATTAATAGTGATTAATGTATCAAAGGTGACTTAAGGAGTTAAAGTTCGAGTAAGATGCTAAGAGACAAAAATATTGTGGAGTCGTTTGTGAAAGTAGGTAAAGTCAAACTTCTACCTCCAGTTCAGAAAAATAATCAAGTACTGCTATTTTATTCAAGAAAATCATATAAAGTTCTGTGTAAAATACGGACATAAATAAAATTAGATTCCAAGACCTAAAATAAATAATACGGTACATAAGGACCGAAACAAAATGTACATTAAATACCAAAGATTAGTATTAACAATATGAAATAGCGTACGTTATCAAAAGAGGACTCGGAAGTTTAGGAAGTGATGGGAAATAAGTAACGAAAACTATACCGCTTTTGAATAACGAGATATGAATAAAATTGATGTTCCCAAAATAAATCATTTAAAACAAAAGGCAAAATTGTTAAAGAAAGAAAAATATTAAAGTTCAAAGTAAGAAATCAATTTTGAGAACAATATTATGACTTTAATTCAAGAATTACAAATAATGCCCAAAAATAATTATACTCTGAAAGGTTTGTTATCAAAAATATTTAAACAAAGTTTTAATTTCTGAATCTACACTAAAGAAATCATTGGTTCAAATTCATCTTTAACTCACAGTTAAAAATTTTGCTTTAAGAAAATAGTTTCATGAATTCCTTTTATCTCATAAAGATTGCAAGTTCTCTCCTTTCTGATATATCAACAATTTTTTCCATATTCACTGAGATGTGAGGCTCCCTATCCCTACTATCAGATAAGCCTCTCTCTCACCGGCTGACCATTCTTTCTCGGGAACTCCCTCTTAGCTCCGCTTCCTGAGCTCCCGGTCTAGAACTTTCATTTTCTTCTATTCGAACTTTTTGCTACATTTCATTAAAAGGAATGTTATTTACAAAAAGCTATTTATACGTTACGTTTTAAGTACACTTTCGCACGTAGTTAAGGGAAAATCTTCATATAATTGTAAAATCACATTTGCGTGATGTAATATATATTAAGCAAGTGACAGTGGAGTAATTAAAGTCTTTAGGTCTTTACGCAAAAATAAATTTTGCCCCCCTTCCCCGTGATTTTCAACACTCCAAGAAAAAGGCAAAAAGAGGGATTCCAAAGAGTAAATTTTTTTAATAATGATGGTTTTTTTTTTTTTTTTTTTTTTTTTTTTTTTTCCCAAGATTTATCCTGGTTAAATTATTTTCGAATATAAGTATTGGCGCCAAAATGGACAGTACGAATACAATTTTGTGCTTATTGGAAAAATTTAGTAATGCCATTCGCTTCCCTTTTTAATCTTTCTTTATTTTTTAGGTCAATAAAACTTGAAGAATGCAAATTTGTGCGTCCATCCTAGTCTGAGCTTAAGTCATTAGCTGATCTTATTCAAGCTTTGCTTTTATAGAATCCATTTTTTATGAAATTTTCTTCCAATAGGTTATATTACAGTTACAAATAAATTTACACAGAAAGCAAAACACGCCAAGCAAAATGCAGAGTTAAGAAGAAATACTATGTAAAACAGAGAATTTATGGAGAAAAACCTAGACTGGTGGATATTTTATATAAAATTGTATTTTGAGTTTTATATGAAATCTACACCAATCTAAATTATTACTATTACTTACTTATTATTTACGATTTTCAAGAAATGAATAAATAACTCGTTAAGTAAGTTGTTGACTGCTGATAGATGACCTAATAGTTAAGTATACAAAAAGAAATTACTATGATTTACTTACTCTAATAATGCGCCATGATTTACTTAGCTCACAAATAAGAATTATTCAAACATTTGCAACAAGAAATTATGAGCATTTCTAATAATATAAATTATATATGATTTAATCTTAATGCATGAATTCATATTGCAAAATAATTAATTATTTTGAATAAACGAAATTTTCTTTGTATATAATTTTTATTGAAGATATACTATGTGATAAAATCCTTTACAACTCTTTCCTTTCAGTTTCTCTCGATCTCTTCTTCCCTTCTCTTCTTGGTTTTTAATTTTTTGATAATTAAGATAATACTGCAGCTTTCTAATATAACTGGTAAATCTGAGAGGCAAAAGCCGCTTTAAAAATCCTAATTTATGTTAATATGTGTCTTATTAATTTTCTGAGATCATTTTCTCAGTCGCCTGAATTTCAAGGTTAACAGCGGTAAGCTTGAATAAACCTGTTGTAAAACTGAAATGTATCAGATTAAAATTCAACTATTTTACACATTTCTTTTCAATTTACGTAATTTACAAAGCAGTACAGGCACAGCAGCCGATGGTTGAGTAATCAACGTTGCTGAAAATTTCTTGTTACATCCGAATGTTAATTACTAACGACAGAAACATTTAGCTAGATAGATGTTTGGTTTTCTCGCATGTAGCGTAAGCATGACCAAGTGTTTAAAAAATGTTTACTAAGGTAGTTCTTGGAGAAAGTGCATGGAAAGCAGTTAACTGCCAATTTTCAATTCATTGAAGTGTTTTGTCGAAATTTTGGAAATTAAAATCTGTTTTAATTTATATGCTATTACCAAGAGTCTTCGAAAGAAGTATCTTCAGGTTTATTTCTTAAAATATTGATCCTAGACGTATATATCCATTTACAAAATATCTTAAAATAAATTACATATCTTTTGTATAGAGAACGGAGAATTGTGAAAATAATAAAATATAGTTTTTTAAATTGGCTATCATCGAGTAAAATTTATCATTGCCAAATTATTCCTTTAATTAATTAAATATCTTTTGCATATAAAATTCGCGGCGAAATCAGAAGATTGTTCCTCAATTTAGTAAACGAACAAGTTTTAGAATTCAGAAAGTGATTTGTATTTAGAACTCCTTAGTTATGAAGGTTCCTCAACTATTTCAACCAATGCCGCAGATTAAAACACATCTGCGAAATAAGTTACATTCCATGATGGGATGTAACCGTGGAGGTAAGAGAATGTAAGTGATGTTCGCAGGCATCATTTAGGGTTTTCAACATATGCTTTTCTCAGAATTCCAACAGTGTGGCCCAAGTCTTCTTGTTTTCATAATGGGTTTTGCAACTAGTAGGACTCTATTGACAGAGGGATGTCTCACTTAAAACTAAGCTTCTTTCAACTACTTACTTCGGTGTTCAAGTTTCCTGTTGAATGCATATATATATTTACGATGTAACTATTATCTTAAAATCTGTTAGCTGAATTATAAGCTCAAATTTCCAAGAGCGTTACATAAAACTCTAATTGTTGTTGCTTTCTGAAATGCATTTAGAAGGAAAAATCTTTTAATTATTTTCATTTGCGTTTTTAAAATTTATACTGACAATACATATGAATATTCTTTTTGCCTCAAAGTAATAATTCCTGTGTCGGGTGATTTTGATTAGCTATCGAACAGTCAAAATAGAAACTGCGATAATGGATGAGGGATCGTGCATTGCTGCGTTTTAAGTTAAATAAAACTACAGAACTTTGATATTCACCCACTATAAGCTCATATTAATAATACGTTTTTACAATAAAAAATTATTATATAGTATTTATCCAAAAACTAATGATATAAATAAGGGGAAAGAATACAATGCACATACATAAATGCTTTAATTACCACATTAAAAGTACAATCTCCTCCGATATTTACCTGTAAAATATTGTAAATGTTTTGAAGATTTCCTGAAATTCTGAGCAAAAATAAAACGCATAATATAAGCTGAAAACTACACAGGGAAGCTTTCAAAATTATAAAATAGTTAAGTTACTCGATTTTAACTTAATGTAAAAGTCTTAGTATTACGCGTAAATAGAAAAGCTATTTTGCTGTTCTGAAATTATTCAATATAAATCTATCTTAGCTGGCTAATCTAATTTTTGCGGGCGAAACCCCAGGAAACTCTGAAAAACCTGTTCTACAGAATAAATCTTTTTTTTAAATCTTTTTTCTTATTGTCTTTTAAATCTGGAAATAATTAATGAAAGACTGTTTATAATCATAATTTACAGAAGCGCAATAAAAAGTTTATATCACATACTTTATATCATTTCCTAGATAAAAGCATGTAATTTATTATTGTATGACTTTTTTAATAAAAGTTTGACTTTTTTTTATATTTTTTCCCGTAGAATATTTCAAGTTCTTTTCAAATTTGCTTAAAATTTCACGTATATTTGATATTTTTGCGGGATAATAATAGTATACATTAAATTTTGGTATTCCATAATTAATCTCTGTAGGAAATAAATAAGAAAATGTGTTTATAGTATACTTATACTGCTTTTTGGAAAAAACGTGCTCCGAACGTGGTCGGATACCTTAAGGCATTTGAAACAAAATCACGTTTGCACATTTTAATCTCAAGGAAATTTGAAAATTACGTCCTCTATAAATACCTCGGTTATTCTTTTTTCTTGAATCACTAATTTATCGCAATTTAATTTTCCTCTACGCCTCGTTTCTTATCTTAAATAAATATGTTATTCGGCAAACAGTTGGCAAGGCTCTGATTAAACATTAGCATGTGTTAATCATTTCTAACATCAATATATATTTAAAAAAGTTTTAAGAAACAAAACTTATCAAAAAGCTTCAAAGAAGACTTCATCCTTTCTGAGAAGTTTCTAGATAAAGATAGATATTTGGACTGATACACACCATTCATGTAATTCAATGTATGAAAATCTTCTAAAGCTATTAAAATTTTACTTAAACACAATCATTCGATATTTTTAAGAAAAATCTGGCTAGGATCCTTCATTTTTGAGGAAAACATGCAGTGTTTATGCATAATAATTGATTTAAGTCTATCGCCTTTTCTATGATTTTTAAGGTGAATATCTATATGTCTCCATTCTAAATCAAGCATACTGGTAATGTTAGTGCAGTATAAGTTTCTTAAAACATCATTCCATTGCAATCATGAAATCATAAAATATCATCAAAACTGATAAGAGTTTTAAATAAATTTTCACAATCCCGATGATTCGTTATGGTGTATCCGTCTGTGTGACGTGATAAGTTAGAAATACATTTGCAACGATTCTTAATTACCTTACTAATTACATCGAATGAAATTTTATTATCAGTACTAATAACAAAATCCCTAACCTATGTTAACACTTTCTTTTTATTCAAGGGAAAATCTGATATGTGGCGATAATAATATGTGCAAAATGAATACTATGAGTTCTGGGTGTTCTTGGGTTTTAATGAACTAAGCCTGTTTACCTCCACTTTCCCCATCATTTCCACACTCTTGCCTCGAAATACTTAGAATTTTTCTCACAATAATAATCATCAGCATTTTGTCATCAGTAATCACTTTATCAGTAATGATTAGTAATGATTTACTAATGATTTACTAATCATTTACTAATGATTTACTAATGATTTACTAATCATTTACTAATCATGATTTACTAATCATTACTGATAAATTCCATCAGTAATGATTTGAAAATGCTCGTCTGGCAAGGAATCAAACCAAATGTGAACAACTGTTTTTTTTTTTTTCCCCGTACTCAAATTGGCTTTCATCTAAAGTTTTGATGCAAATAGCACAATGGTACAGATTGTTTTGTGTATATCTAAGGATCTTTAATCGTATTATGTTCATATTTTGCAGAAGCTATTTTTGTTTTTAAAAAACGTTTTAAGAAACAGTGTTCCGGTGCACCAGAACAGAACAACTCAACCTGACTCTTTCGCTTCTGGAATTATGCCAAAAGAACATAGAATTCAGTTGAACTGTCAGACTCAGACGAACGCATAAAGGCAGCTGGAATGCTGTCTATTCTTCACTATTTTTGTTCTTTTCTCGTATTTATAAGGTTTATATGTCATTTTCTTGTTTATACTTGTATTGTGCAGTTATTTAAT